CTTCAAGCGCTCAAAACCCCAAGCCCAGCGCAAAGCCCAGAAATTCTGTGCTGAGATCGAAGCAACACCTACCACGGCGGTGGCGAAGCTAAAAAATGTCGAGGTGCCTGTCCGTATAAGGATTGGAGTGCAGCGCGGTAGCTTTCTCTCTTTCTATCCCCCGATCTGTGTATCTATAGATAGACGGATAGATCGATAGGTAGGTAGGTAGGTAGGTAGGTAGGCAGGTATGTCGGGTTTAAAGGATGTGCTGTGCGTTGTTGTGCTGTTAAAGGGCCTCTCTGTCGGAATCCGACGGTTAAGGGCCAGAGTGCATAACATAGAGGGCAAGAGCGTGAGAATAGCCGTTGGAGGTGGGTCATCGTATAGTTGCGTACGGACCATGAAGGAATAGAAGGGGTGTTGGCTGTCGGCTTACGCTTCGTTGGTGTCCTGGGTTCAAACTCTAGGGGCGTAGGCCTCTAGGGTCCATGGGCTAAGGGTTCAACTTCTGCGTCTCAAACACGCACCGGATGTCTGAACAGAGAAAGGACCCGAAGGCCGTGACAACCCCCAGCAGTCGCTACAATACTGTATGTATATGCTTCTGCTATAAATCCCTCCCAAGCCCTGTTCCCTCTTGTTCCGGCCCGGATATTACATGTTCATCCCAAAGTCTTTGCCTGCAGTCGAGCTGTTAAACCTCGGCGATCGCAGTGTTCGTAGTTGGGATCTCTGTTTCGATGGAGTTGGGGGCTTGCGGTGACTTAGGACGTGCACCCATGGCCTCAAGAACCTGGAAGGAAACTCAATGGAGTCCGGCTTGAATGGATGCTTAATTATTAAATAGTAGCATTTCGGGTTTTTGGACTGGTAGGACCTGGACATGACACTGTAAGCCTTGAGGCTCGAGGGTGCGCCTTGCAAACCAAGCACCACTAAGCCGTCCAGCACAACCACAAGCCCGCTATTGCAGCAGGCATCTGCGCCACATCAAAGCACTCGACACCATACTCCAGCTTCCAAAAACTTCCAGAATACCGTCATACCCGGTGAAACACGGCAGATGGGCGCAAAGGTATCTTTTCGCTGGGGCTCCGGCGAAGCCGTCGGATTCTCAAAGCCCTGAAAATCGGCAATGGTAACCTCTGCAGCTTCCAGAAAGCCACTGCGTTCAGTTTGGGCTTTGGGGTCATGGTTTAGAGTATACGGTCCAGGGTTCTGAGGGGTTACGGGCTCATGTCGGGGATCCCACACAATGATTAGGATTCAGAGTTTAGGTCTTAACTAGTCTGCAGTTATTCATGCCCCTGCAGTAGGTCTTGCAGGTTCAGGGCTTAGGGCGCCAGTCCCGGAGGTCTGCACCAGGTGCGGAAGGTGACCTGCCCTCCAACACTGTCTTTATCCGAGGTGTAGAGTCTGATTGTAAAACGGATGACCTCCAACTGGCAGCAAAGTGCCGAACCCAGCATCCGAAGCCAGGGACTCCTGACCGCCCCAGGCCCAAACTTGTCGTCCGCTTCACCTGGTTCAACCTAGACCTAGACCTCTGCCTCCTCTGTACCCTCAACTATGCCATTTTCGGGCTGGGCTCGCTGAAAATTTGAACCTACATGCTCCAACCCCAAGCCCCAACAGGGAACCTCATTTCGCATTCGCGGTTTGGGGGCACGGCATTGCTGTCTGGACTGCTGCAGCGCTCTTGCGCAGTCATGGAGGCATTGGCCACGACCTCTGCTTCAAGCGAGGGGTTTAACCAGTGGCCTCTTCCCAGGTCGACTTCCGGTTGCGGTATTAAAGATGGGAATAGACCCTAAGCCCGCACTAAAGTCGAAATCTGGAAACCCCAGAGAGAGAAGTCAAAGAGTTCTCGCGTAGCCAAGTGTCCGTTATAGCAGAATGTACATTGGGCAAAATGTAGTTGCTATATGGATACTTTGATTAGGGTCAATGAATAACGATCATATATACATATATGACATGTATACGTAGGCACCTCGACCCTAGGAATTCTAGTTCGGTGTCGAAGGGGTCGTCGACCCAAGCTCTCTCCTGAGGGCTGCGCGAGCATCAGCCAACCTGAGCTTCAGCTCGGGGGGCACTGGAGAACATCTGGATATACCTGGATGCCTTCTAACGAAGACGCCACTCTGAACTCCTGAAAGAAACCCCGTTCGGCAATCCAAACAGCCCTTTCGAAGCCCTGAGCCTCTTCCTCAAACCCCAAGCTTGCGAACCCTACGCCCCTGAAGCCTCATATATGTGTCACGGACCCTAAACCCTTGCACCTATACATGGAGACTTTCAAGTCGGGAGCTCTGTAAAGGTCCTTCAAATCAAAGGCTGCCAGGTCACGCTTGTAAGCAAAACTCAAAGGACGAACCCTGCAACCCCCCCCCCGTCCCGCCCCCCCGTCCCCCTCTTTCAAAACACACCGAACCCAAATCCCTAACCCCTAAACCCTTCCCAAGAGAAGCAGAGGACCTGACTGCGAGCTTCCAGGCCTTCCCCGAGGAGGCCGAGGGAGCAAGGAAGCCCGAGAATGCAAATCGCCTGTGACAAGGACTTAGGCTCAGGGTTCATAGGGTTTGAGGGTGTTGGGGTTTGAGGTCTTGAGGGTGTAGATGTTTAGGTTTAGGACATCGGGGCATGTGGGGCTTAGGATTTAGGGCTGCAGAGCTGGAACTTAGGATTGAGGACCTCGTGTGGGATTCATGTTGGGATGATGGTTGAACTAGTTGAGGACTGATTTCTCCTGTACGGTAGCGCGACACTCACCCAAACTTCGCCTCAAGCCCGAAAGCTCGACGCCGAAACCTGCAGCAATCAAGGAAGCTATCAAACACACCCAAATCCCACGTCCTCAATTCCTCAATCATAACCTCTAACCTTGGAACCTTAAAGCTCAACTCCATAAAATCCCGAACGATCCCCTGCCTGGTGGTCTTGTCTCGGCCCGAGGAGGCCGAACCAACCCAACTCCTGGCCACCAGGGCTTTTTTTCTCAAAGGTCTCTCAGGTTCAAACTTCAAAGTGCTCAGTAAAAAACGCTCTTTGAAAGGCTCAGGCTTTAGCGTTGGGGGTTGGAGCTGAACAAATCCGAGCTGTTCGGGTGCAAAGCGTGAGACACCGAGAGTGACCCAACACCTCGTGTTCAATACCGAATTGCCTAAGAGTTCACCTGATGCCGAACCCCAACCCCGAGGACCAGGACGTCGAGCGAGGTCTCGAAGGGCGCCCAACAGAGCTTGTGCCTTGGCGAGGCGTCCAAATATCGGGTTGAAGGCTTGGAAACCCGGGTGTAAGGACATTGCCGCTCGGGCATGTCCTAATTTGCCGGGTCCATGCCGTGAAACACGTTTTTAGCTGATGCGTCAAGGAGAACCTGGATCCTGGACCGAACGAGACCTTGAATTCAAGACATCGCATACGACTCAAGTGGCATATCCCCAAAAGGTAAGCTAGTTAACACCGTACTTCAAAATAGCAACACATGACCCGCCCTTCAGGGTAAAGACTTCTAATCACGTGTACTATAAACTGTATGAACCATGGCAACTTACTATATATATATATATATATATATATATATGAGCGTACACACATACACACATGCAGACAAAACATGCGACATACAAAGATACGTACAAGCATGCATATATACTATATTCTATACATACATACATACATACATGCATGCATACATACATCCATGCATGCATGCAGGCATGCATACAGACACGCAGTCACACGCACACACACACACACACACACACAAACGCACATACGCATATATATATATATATATATATATACACACACATATATATCCACGCACCCACCCACCCACCCATCCATCCATCCGTCCATGCACGCATGCATGCATGCATACATACCCACAGACACGCATACATACATGCATACTTACATACGTACAGACATACAAAACAACACACACATAGTACATACATGTATGCATACATGCATACATGCATGCATACATACATACACACACACACGCACACACCTGCACACACGTATATACACACACAACACACACATGTATATATATATATATATATATATATCTACATATGCACACACACATGCACATGCAGATGCACATACGCATACACATGCGCGCAGACACAAATACAGATACGGATGCGAACACACACACACACACACACACACACACACACACACACACACACACACACACCACACACGCACACGCACACGCACACGCACACGCACACGCACGCGCACACGCACGCGCACACGCGCACACGCGCACACGCGCACACGCGCACGCGCACGTCCATCCATCTGATGCATGCTCACATTGGGCTTGGGTCTGGGAACTGGCATTGACACTCGAGTTCATCACTCCGGAATTATATATTCATGATCATGGCCATCCTGTCGTTGCATCGCCTTCATCAACGTCGCACTTCGAAGCCGCAAAGCTTAAGCCCCTCGGCAAGATGTTCTGGGACCCTCTAAGAAACCATTACAGTTCCGGATGGATTGATACTGCCAGGTTTTGCAGGTCTGAGAGCTCTCTTTTGCTGCAGTCTTTGTGAGGATGGTTTGGACAGCACAGCTGTTGGTGCTGGAATGTGCTGGACACATCCTTGTTACGTTAGCATCTAATCTGTCAGGCTGGTACTCTGTAAATTGTCGAGCTTCATGCAAAGGCCGACAACGACGGCTCCACTTCACGCACTAACTGGTCTTGAATGAGATGGCCAGCTTGGTGGACAGAGTGCCTGCCTGCAATTTAGACTAGCAGCTCCTACAACGTTCCTACAAAACTTCGCAGAAGCCGGGCTGCCCCTCACAACACACAACATACAGTTTGGGGCTTTGGCTCGAGCTGAGGGCTTCGGGTTTCTTCTCGCTTTGGAAGATTTAGGGGGTTTCACAACATTGCACGCCTTAGGGCTTCGGCCAGGGCTAGGGTTACCATAAGAGTGCTCGTTCTCCAAAATCGTGCGCAGGCGCAGACCTGTTCTGCCTCACTTGCTCGAGAAGTACTCCGCCACACCCTCCGTCGTGGGCTTCATCGCCTTGGCACCCTTCTTCCTTAGCCGTTTGCACAGTCTTGGCCCGAGGGATTTGGATTTTAGGTGCTGAGTTTCAGAGTTTGCGGCTATATTTTTTTGGGTATCTTTTGGGAGGCTAGGGTTCCTCTTGGGCTTCTGTGATTGGGTGCTGACACCTACGCCAAGCTAAGGCTAAGCTTCCACCCGGCCGGGCAGACTCGCTCGTCTCCGTCCTTGACGCTCTTCTCGTGGAACTGCAGCGCGTCGAGGATCCGCAAAACTTCCTCCATTGGGTTCTCTTTTAACTTGAATTGGCTGAAAGTGATAGTTTGATTGAAAACTTCCTGCCTCAGAGCTTGTACAGAAGCCGCTGAAATCAAGAGCAACACCACACGCCGCCTAAAATCTTATTGTACCTGACCTGCTACGCCGCCGCTGGCCGCACTCTGGCCCGAGAAGGAAGGCTTGATAAAACCACAACCCGACTTCAAAGCCACAATTTAATCAACTAGACCCGTGCTCGAAACCACCCACCCTAAGCCCTTAGCCCTAAACCCTAAACCCTAAAAGCCCTATAAACAAAAGAAAAGCCCTAAAGGCCCTAAACCGCTCTCCTCCACGTTGCGTCCGAGCGGAAGGTCGTTCTTCATCTCAGATCGCACGATGCCCTCCTGGCGAGGAAGGCCAAGGAGGCCTTCGGGGGAAATTCAATTGTGTAATGTAGGATGTAGGGGCCGTAAAGAATTAGTGAAGGGTTCCGCGGCAGATTCTACTATACTTATAGTATAGAGCCCTAAGGAATAATATTGGAAATCTAGGCCAAAACACAAATAATGAAAGGAACAGGTCTCCAATATCCGAACCTTTGCTGCTGCTAATACTTCTACAAACGTCCCATGACAAGACTAAGCATGGCCTCGGGAGGTTGGCACTATGACCACATTTTAGGGAACTCCAAAGCATGTTGCCACTACAGTATTCGCTTTGACCCCTATATACTACCTGCCCTGCTCCGGATATCTATTTCATCTGGCAAGAATCCCTCCCGCCAGCACCGCCCCTCAAACACTCGACCCTACATCCGGGCCGAGGCTGTAGAGATGTCATAGGCTTTGGGGGCTTCAGGATGCAGTTTCGGGTTCAGGGGCCAGACCGTCACTCTGAGGTTGAAGAAAGGGGAGCATCCAGGTAGGGAGCCCGAAGCTTGACTGGGGGCTGCGAGACTTCGGGTATTACTGTTCCAAATGCAAGAACCACACGGCCGACATCCTCCAAGACGTCTTGGTCTGAGGATTGGACAACCACAACGATGCAACGTATCATTCACCCGAGGAATGTCGAGGACATGCCAACATTAAACGACACACACACTCAGAGGAAACTGCAGTTAGATGGGCTGGTCGGGGGGGTCCAAACTCAGGTGCCGAGGCGCAGGCCCTAGACTTCCAGGGCTCAGAGCGTAACAGATTTGGGGATCCAACAAGGCCCGATGCCTTGTCGATGATGTAAACGGCCCGCAGCGCCAGGCCGTTGTCCAAGAGGCAGCCGTAGGCAGTGCTCACCTGCAAAGCAACCGCAGATCTCTGATAGTCTACGGGAATATACGACATTCTTCTCCCCAGCGAGAGTGTAACATGCACTGTATTGCGCTTGGACTGCGGACCAACTTCAGCAATCGAGAATGATCCCAGGCCCCAGATTCTTGGTAAAACCTGGGCCCACAAACCCTCGAAGTGCAGACCTCCCAAGCCCTGCAACACCATCGATTTCAATGTCTGGCAATGGACAGCTGACCACCGCGCTCTGTATTTTCTCTGTAGTGCTTCAGGCACGAGTGCCAATATGTTACTGCACCTGCTGTCTCCGACAAACCTCTTTCAGACCCGACTTGTGAGCAAGTTAGTGTCGGTTTCATTGGCGGAGGCTTCAACCACAACCAAGGCCACATCCAGCTACTTGTATAATGTGTGCGATGCGACATCACATCTAGGGCTGATACCCTACCGGTATCCCCACAGACCTACTGTTTCAAGAGGTTCTAGAAGGGTATCAAAGTAAGGAGCGCCAACAATGCAGGTGTCGTTAGGATTACAGCTGAGCCCCATAGCAGCCCTATGCGCTATAACCCTGATCTGGCCTCCTTCTTAACATCTGCCAGCAGAGGGTGAGCGATGGGTCCGATTCCACCCTTGTCCTGCGGCGTGTTCTTCCACGCCTCCGGCCAGCTCAGGGCGCTGTTTGAGCTAGGGACTCCTCCTATATTGACCCATTAACAGTGAGCCCTAAGTACCCTGCACAAGCCTCCGTCTCTTAGCTAGGTTCTGCTGTGAAATTTAAGGCCAAAGCCAAAAGCCCTGAACCGGACTGTTCAAGAGAGATGTGGGGGTATGTTACGGAGTTTATACTACAGAAAGAGAATGGGGCTTCAGCTAAAGTTCTGACATCTGACCTGAGGCTGCGCTGCACATCCTGCGCCCAAAGCCCCGAATGTCCCCCATCTGCACCTTGTGCACATGCTCCGTGTCGATGGACATGCCCAGCACCTCGACATTTCGATCGTCGAACTCCTGCATCAATGGCTTAGGATTTGCTGGCCGGAGCCCATGGTTTACTGCAAGTTTCTCCTGCCTTTGCTCTTGATCAAGGAACTACGTAATTCGTTATGGTGCTCGGGGACCTTGCCCTGAAGTCGACACCTTTAAGGGCTTACATTAAAACGTTAGTCTTAGAAATGAAACCTGTCCCATCCGCCTCGCGAACGATTCTCAACGAAAGTCTCGCAGTAGTTTGCGGCTTTGGGAAGGTGTGAAGTGGTTTAGGGTGATGCCGTAGAATCCCCCGAACACTTGAAGCCGTCTTGAACCATGAGACTGTCGGGCCCTGAACCTGAAACTAGAAACCAGCCTGCACCCGAATTCCCATTGTTGCACGTAATAAACCACAAACCCTGAATCCGCAAACACTGAACTCCTCAACTCTGAAAGATCCCGAAGCCCCCGATCCGAAATCACAAACCACGGCCTTCTTGAGGTTCGAGAAGGCCACCAGCTCGCTGGCACAGACGAAAGTGAAGTCTGCCGGGTAGGTGTACAGCACCACATACTTCTTACCTGGTCAAAGCGGCTTAGGGCTTAGGGTTCAGCAGAACCTTTTACAGAAAAGTACCAGGCCGCATGAACATGCTCTCTAGACCCTCGCCAATGGCTCTCGGGTTGCTATGAAGCCGGACCGTGTTGAAACCTACCGACTTACTGAGAAGGAGTTCAGGAGAGAAGGTTGACTGCGATGGCGCCTTTTGTAAGGGCCCTCAGAGCGCAAGGACCGAGAAGCAGCACTCGACAAATCAAATCAAACTAGTAACTAGTAAACACAGGAAGGGGCGAACACAACAGCAATGCTATGACATGGAAGGATGATGACGGTGCTGGAGATGCTTATGGCGGCATCTGGTGGCGACGATGTTACCTCTGCTTCCCTGCTGCAACTGAAAGTGGCTGCGCCAAGGTTGCTTGCCTCGGTAGCTTGCGAGCTCCACCTCCTGGAAGGAGTCATCCGGCATGCCTGGGGGAGGGCCCTAAGCCGTTTATGGCCCTTCAACCCTGGACTTTCGGGTTAGGGCGCTTCGGATTGCCGGCTTAAGGTCTAGTGCCGGGTTTAGGCGTACAGTTCAACAAGGTCAACAGCTTAACCCAACATGCCCTGGGCCCCGCCTCACGTAGCGTAAGCCCGAAATCCCTCAACTGTACATTCCACAAATCATCTTGCTCCAAAGATTCCAGTGGCCCAAGCCTTACAACACCAGCGCGGCAGAAACCAGCAGCCTAAAGCAAACCCCAACCCCGAACATCTAGTCCATAAATCTCTAATCCAATCGGCCGCCCCCGAAAAATCACAAACTCCCTAACCCCTAAACCCTAACCCCTAAAGTCCAAACTCCAAAGGCCTAAAGTGCTAACCTTGCCCCGGCGCTCGCCATCAGCTTGAAGTTCGGAGCAGGCTGCTGGATGAGGGATCCTTTAGAAGGGGCCCCCACCCTGTAATAGTGACTATAAGGATTATATTAGGACCCTATTATATTCCTATTATACCACCATTACAGGGTGGGGGCCCCTTCTAAGGGATCCTAGTCTAGACTTCAGAGGAACCTAGGGATGTAAAAAGGGTGCCCTTCCTGGTTTAAAGGAGGCTATAAGGGAACCTGAACCCTAAAAAAGGGAATAAGGGCCTACTCTAGGTCCTAGAGGTTTAGGTTTAAGGGTTCAGGGGTTCAGTGTCGATCCAACTTATGGGTTATTTAGGGTTTATAAGGTTTGTTAGGTGTAGGTTCAAGGGTTCAGGGCTTAATGACATGCTTCTGGTTCAGGGCTTTGAGGTTTAGCGTTTTACGATTTAGGGGTGTTGGGCAACGCTATTTAGGTCGTGGAGATTTCGGCATTGAACTGATGGTTTACGCTAGGCTTTGGGATCTAGGGAAGCAGCACTCCCGGGATTTGGCCGGATAGGTATGCGAGGGCCGAAATTGTGTGCAAAATTTTGGTTTGGGGAGCGGGGAGGGGGGAGGAGGTTGTATTGCAGATGAGGACGGAGTGGCCGAGCAATATTTCGATTGTGCAAGGTTGTTTTGGTGTATTTGCAGCATCAGTAATGATAGATAGATTTTTGTTGGCTAATGCGAAAAATGCGATTCTCGAATCTGGCGTAATTCGTGTCAATGACTACGCTCAGCATGAGGACCCTACATGTAGACGGCATTCTTCTGTTAAAGGTCAGTGGACCCTAATGCCTTTGACCTTGCCTGCTTTGCGACTGTTTTGCGTGGTAAGGGCTTATTACAGCCACAAAGAGAAACGATTGGTATTGCAGAGGTATAGGTTAAGCTGCTTTCCCTGACGAATCTGAAGTTCCCAGTCCGTGAGCTCTCATGAGTCTTGAGCCCAGGCTCTCAGTCCCGCTGTTTCCGCCATGACCTGCAGGGGGTCAGTTTTGGGGAGTTTCAGAGTTTTAGACTCCACTTCAACCTAGAAGGGGTTTGCATGCTTGAAGCGCTTGGCAGAGCCGACCCGCGTAGACGCCATCCCTGCGCCCGAGTTTAGCTTATGAAATACACCGAGGTCGTAGGGTCCAGGGTTAGCCTTTACGTTTTTGGAATGTTTTGGGTTTACAGAGCATCGAAAGCTAGATCCCGAGCATACACACCTTCAATTTCGTACTGACGATTTGAAATCCTTGCAGCGTGGTTTCCTTACCGACCTTTCGGCCGCTCTGAAGCTCTAACACCCGAACCAACCCAAGCCCTGCAAACTTATGTCATGGTTTAAGACATCAGAACTTGAGGTGTGCAGGCACCAGACAGAAACCTGGAAGCAACGTAAGCGCCGCCAAACCGAAACTCGCGCACCAGGGAAGCCCATGGCATCTTCCGTAGCCACTCTGGTCCGGGGATGTTTTGGCTTTGCGGTTCATCGGACGTAAACTAAGATCGGAAGCCCGAAATTGAGCGGATTTTTGCAGTCTCTGTGGCTGGCTCTTCAGATAGAGTCACCGCGGTGATCCTACACAGCGTTTTGTACGGTCTTATGCGAAGACATCCGGACTAATTAAGAACCCAGCAAGGAGCCTAAACCCCTAAACCCCCAAAACCTAAAAACACTTAACACCCATCTCCAAAGCCCCTCAACACGAAACTTCTTGACCCCACATCCCGGAACCCAAGAGATCCGAAACCGAGAGATGCCTCGGTAGCTCCATGGAGGCTGCAGAGGAAGGCCCAGAAGAGCGCGCCGGACATGGCGACGAGGTGCGGGGGAAGTGCAGGAAGGGCCGGGTGAGGAGAGCTCGAGCAAATCGCAAAATGGCGGAGGTTTAAACAAAAAAAAAACTTAACAGAGTCCTTCGAGATGGGGCTAGCTACGGCGTTTCACCGAAAAAGGATACCTGGTCGTGTCCCTGCCAGCGCAATAGAGTTTCATAGTCGTGAGGAACCTCAGTACGATCCACGTCTGCCATCCAAGGCAAGTGGGATGCACGCTTCCGGCAGATCAACATTCACATCCGGATCCACGACCATCAAAATCTAGGTGAGCATGATACCCATCGTCGTCGCCAGCATCATCATCAGCGCCGTCATCCAGTGGTACGCTTAATCAGTGACAACCTCGTAGTTTATACTCTTCTTCCTTTTTCCATTCACGACGGCCGTGATGCAAGGTGATACAGGCAATATCACAAACACGTGAGAAGTATGCCTGATGAGAAGGTCAGACTAGCCACTATCCTACTGTTTGTTTACAGCCATACATGCCCCCTTACTGTCTTCAACCTTACAGCCTTACATGCCATCGGGGTGACTGGGTCGCAGCGGCCCACAACGATCCATTTGGACTTAGGCGGAATCCTGTAGGTTAGGGCCATCTAGTTACGATGGTTGCGGATGAAGCTATTCACATGTCTCCGATAGATCCAGCGCACACAGATTTTCTAGCTGGGGCAGCAAAACGATCTGGCCAGAAGCGAGTTCCGGCAATGTCTATGTGGGACGAGACATCCGTCGAAGGCTCACAGGTCCAAGACCCTAAACCCTAATTCCATAATGCTACATACTACACACCCTGTAGACCCAAATCCCCGGAGCTCAGATCTAGCCGACCGGACATACCGAACGGCGAATCTGAGGTGGCATTTGGCCTCTGAAACCCGATAATAAGACAACTCAAACTATTTTGTCAGATAAAGAGCCTAGAGGGCATGGCACCCTGGGCCCTGGGCCCACGATCTAAAGTCCATAGACCTCTTTGAATGTGTCTCTGTGTCGGACATCCTTAACACCCCGAACATCAGATGTTTCCGATGGCCTCCACAGATTCCCCAAACGTAACCTACCCATATCGGATCCTTAGCAGCCTTAGCATCCCGAAAGAAGGGCGACCAATGCCTGCCCGACGGGTGCCCGCGCTCGTGGAACTGTAGATCTCCACTTGCGCAGGAAAATTCTTACAGAGTTTAAGGGCCGACGTTTAGGGTGAGCTGTCTATTAAGTGGGCGCGTGGGAAGGGTTTATGGCAGAGGGTTGCCTTGATTTACGGTAGCGACAGGGAGCTACCGAAAGTCCTATTCAACTACGTGGCTGCAAAGATGGCGCTCCCATCTCAGTCAGCCTTGGGACCCACGGCTTTCTTTGGCGGCGCGAAGTCCAACCAGGTCTCGGTGGGCTCCGCTTGGTCCTGGTCGATGTTGACTTTCAGTTCTTTTGGGTCGGTAGGTTTGGGGGCTGGGGGTATATTCAGACTGAACTACTAGACTCATATGAGAGTTGCTTCCGTCTCTTTAAGGGTACCTCAAGAGTTTGTGGCTGAGGGTCTAGAGCTTTTTGCGGTGTGTGGGTTTCTGGAGTTTGGACCCCAGTTCCAGTGTCAACGACATGGAGCCCAATACCCCTTCAGGAATAGGTCTTGAATTATACAGGATATTCCTCAGGACCATTGTAATTCCTCCACCGCCACTAGCATCAGTGCCTTGGCCAGCTCATGCACCGAAACTGTGTCAGCACGACCGTTAGTGGTTCAGGGTTTAGGGACGCGTTGGGGTGTGAGCTCCTGGTAGGTTTTGTAGAGGTACTCGACGATCTCGCTGCTCCTCAGCATGCATGGACATTTCCCGCAACTTGTGGCCATGTCCGAACTCGCACGGGATTTGTCGGGGAATTTATTCCCAGGGTAGGTGTCACCGAACGGTCTGGCAATCGAACATTCAGCAGGGACTTGCTGCATGTGTCAGGACAGCTATCGCGTTGCAGATCGGTGGGGTTCAAGATTCCTCGTTTCTACTTCAGAGCCTGAAACGCAGGACCGACCGACACACGCACACACACACAAATCCGACTTTGACATGCAACCAACATGGTAATTAATTTCGATCGCTCTGCGAACCGTATACTCTCGGCCGAATGACGAAACTCTGAACCTCAAAACCTTCATTGGCAGCTGGACCCGGCAGGGAATTCCGTCCTCAAACTCAGTCCCCACACAAGGCATTATTCCACGTCATACAGTACCATGCACGTGTGGCATAGATATTAGACAAGTTGACCCAGTTGCGCTGGCCTTCAACCCGAAGAAGCCTAACGACTCTCAATCCTAAATCTTAAACCCGGGCTGGAAGCTGAAAATCACCCTCGACCGCTGTGCTTGGACCCAAAAGCTTTACAGCTCATTCAATTAACAGCGTCCTCTCAGCTTTGGGTTACTTCGCAGAATGAATCCTGCAGCTCAAGGAGCTCTTCATGCGGCACAGGGGCTCCAGAATGTCCTTCCCCGTGTTCGGGTCGCGGAGGAAGGGCATCTGCACCGCTCCGACCGCGTTGCGAGCGCTGGACAGTAAGTGGCCGTACTTCTCCCGGAACTCCGTTCGATTCTTCACCTGTGCAGTTTGCTATCTCTCGCTATCTCTCTCTCTCTCTCTCTCTCTCTCTCGCTCTCTGTACGTGGCCGTGTGTGAGTATATATACATGTGTATATATATATATATGTATGTCCCGAAATTGTGTATTTATTTGTTTGTTGATGTTTACTTGAACGTATATGTATTTCATACTGATATTCATATATGTACACCGTGCACCTAAATCTACATGTGTAGATGTGCACATCTATACGGATACAGCCGTATATACATATATATGTATGTGTACACACAGATGTATCCACTTGGCCCTAGTCACCCTAGTCGCTCTTTTAAATGTTATCTTTACCATCGATAATATCAATTTTGGAACAAGTGCAACGTTTCGGTTTAGGTGCACGCTACACCCCTCACCGTGAACGATTTACATGATGACAAGGCGATGTGGAGGCTACTTAGACCGTGGCTTCATGCCGAAGGAAGGAGAAATGAGATCAAGAGTCATATACGCGATGTTCAGGATGAAGGCCAGCCCCTATACCGGCTAAGTCTAAACTCTAAGCCTTGCGGTTGAGCACGTGTGGCTCGATCAACCACTAGACACGCTGTGGCCTTGGGTTTGAATTGTAGCTTTCCGAGTTTGAGGTTTTCGGGTTCGGTGTGGCCAATTCCTTCATCCAGGGACCTGAAACCCTAAACCCCTGATCCAAGCGGCGACAATGCCTGACAAACCCAAGCTGCTTGGATCATTTGAAGACCACAACTCAACGTCACAAGTCGCCCAGCACCGCTAGACCCCTGCTGTTTCGCAAAGCCACCTCTCCATGCGGCACATTCCGCAGCACGTAGGGCCTTTGCGGCAGTTGCACGAAACAGAAACACTGCTACGGCTGCAGTTCGAGAGTCTTCGGGGACTCTGCTCCACGGAACCCCCAACCTAACAGCAGCCCTGAACCCTACACCCAAAAATCCTGAAAACTGAACCTTCAGTTCCAAACCACACGAGCCGCAAGTCTTGAAGCCACGGGGCAGCTCGAGGCAACATAGCGCCTCCCGTACCAGTCGAACGAAGGGCGAGCCCTCACAGCCCCAAAGCCTGGCACGGAAGTTTCGGCTTTCTGGCACAAGTAGCAGCAGCAGTATCAGTAGCAGTAGTCGTTGGTACTTAAGCAGTCTTATTGTTATTACTATCACAACTTTACCATCAAAACTTTACTATCAAATCATTGCTATGATGATTGCTATTCGTATTCGTCGCAGTCGTAGTTGTTGTTATACTAGTAGTAAACCTGAGTAGTACTACTCTTGGGGCCCCTTTTTGCAGTCCCGAGACTCTAGCGGCTCCTGCGCGGACTTGCTGGGCACCCGGAGCACTCCGTGTCGAAGCCTCTGCTGGGAAGGTAGCAAAAGGGGGCCTTAATCGTTACTTATACTATTTGGTGGGTGTTCCTTTAAAGAGGGTTCCCTTAAAAGGCCCTATAAGGGTACTGCGAATAATTACCTATACTATGTTGGGAGTTCCTTGTTATGATTATCGCATACCGGGCCCCCAAACCCTATTCCAATTATAAATGCCCCTACATTACAGGGCACCCCTGATCCTTTGGTTGGTGTTATTTTGTCCATGTTTGTGTGCTTGTCATCGTCTTGCGGCTTGTCCTGTTCATCTAGATGTTCCTTGTGTGCTCTCCCGAAGCTTCCTCCTTAAAGGCCTGAAAACTGGAAGCTCAAGGTCCTCGTGCGATGCGAATGTGACAGACAAGCAGGAAAAACCAGCGCTGACCATCGTTGTCTAGTTTCCAACTTACTGTAGCTTACTGTCGGGATTTGGGTCGTCAGGCTTCTTACAGGCCAATGCCCCGAAACGCAGAAGCCATGAAACTACGAGCACAAGAACTGCTGGTTCTGAGCAGGGCCTTAACTACAAATCGGCCGCCCAAAAAAGTCGCGAAGCGATGGCCGGCAAAGAGCTGGGAAGAATATCCTGACTTGGGTTTCGAAGGCATATAGGCTGTCAGGGCTTGTAGGGTTTGGTTCGAAGCAAAAGCTTGCAGAAGCCAGAACTGTTGGTCCACTTTGTGTTTCTATTGAAGGCGTAGAGCATGGTGTTTTTTTTTGGCATTCAGGGTCTACGGCGTTCAGGGTTGATGGCTCTGGAATGCTCTGGACGTAGTGTCTGCCGGCTGGGGCTTCTGGCGTTTACAGCTCAAGAGTTTCGGGACTTTACTCGTCTGTCGCTGATGGACATCACATAGACAGTTTGGAAGCAATGTCTTCAAGTTACCTGGTCAAGATTGATCACCAAGCCCCACACCTCAAACTCATGTTGCACACCATACTGCTGCTTTTCCGGCCGAGACGTTTGAATCCAACATGGGCCTGCATGCGGCCCAAATATATACGGAATACTTGGAGTACCAGGGGCACAATCGGAAATTAACTACCTACCCCTAGGCGTACGGCTCCACATACCTATAGGCCTTCTGTCAAGTACCTCTATGATAGCAACATCTAGGAACCCCTTTAAGGCCTAAGTATATTCTGTATAGGCATGGAACCCTAGACATTAAAGCACAAGAAATTAAAGGAACACATAGAAACCCCTTTCTATGGCCTAAGTATAGTCTGTGTGGGGAAGTGGAACCCCATCCCTTAAGGGATCAGCAGGAAAGCGTCAGCGGAGGAAAGGCCAGCTTTCGCCCCAGCCAGTAGGTCCAAGGCTCAGTCGCCTCACGCCCAGGGGGGATGTAAGACTTTATCCATAGGCTCCATAGTAGCTCCTTTTTGGGGTTCATTTTTTCGAATCCTATCAGGTAATCCCAAAAAGAAGTAACTACTATGGAGCCTATGGGTATAGGATTCCTTTAAGGGTTCCATCAGACAGCGGTCTTCAGGTTCCTTTAAGGTTTCCTATACGACGGGGTCCTCTGAAACTTCCTATGGGGGTTTCCGAAACTTAGGGGTACTTTTTTGAGGGGTCCTTGTAAAAAGGATCCTACTATTTAGGGTACTATATTGGGGCCCCCTATTGTCGGAAACTCCCATATCGATTGTCGAGCGGCAAACCTGAACCCTCAACTCTGAACCCCCGATGACTACCTGCATCATCCCTTTTCCCCCTCCTCGGATCCGTAGGTCTTCCAAAGGTAGGCATTAATCTCGGCGGACTCGTTCATGTGAACTCCCGTGTTCTCGTCCACGAGGAAGGGGTACATCTGCTTGCCTGCTGTACTATGACTATAGTTACCTTAATAATCAGCCTTAATTCCGGTTCTTACCCAGTCTTAAGGCGCCCACGTAAGGACACCATACTACGGAGTCCAAGCAGGTAGTATAAGGCTTTGGATAGTGCTCCGTGCTTCAGGGCATGAGGACAAAACCAAGCCCAGATTTCGCCGCAGTCTGCTTCTGCCTCCCAACTTCGCGACGTCCTCCCTGAAGCGCGAGTTCTCAACGACGCCGTAAGCCTTGAGAGTCGATCGAGGACAGGGGTAGATCTCTACATCCAGGGCGAGGACGGAGATCGTCTCTCGCACGTTTCGGCAGAAAGGGCAGCCTTCGAACTCATAGAGCTTCAAAAGCCTTTCACTGCCCATACATATGGAAACAAAACAGCGCAAATGGTCACGACTTGAAAAAGGAAGTTCCTGTTCATAAGAAACGAAAGTATTTGGAGAAGCCACGGAGCTTGGCAGGTCGCTGGCACTTCTCCAGGCCAGTGGCGGCAAAGCCGCCGCTGAAACCACGGAAGCAGCCCGCCAGGGAGGAGGTCGCCAGCTCTGCGACTCTCCCGAGTACCGGGACCTTCCTGACTTAGAGTTTTGAGGTCTCCCAAAGCTGTTCGGAATAATGAGCACCTTAGGGATTACGAATTTGGGTTTTTAAGGTTCCATAGGACCAGAAGTACTTTAGCACATTTAATGCATGATCCCAACGTGCCGCCTGGCTTCTTAACAGCCTCAAAGGCGATGCTACAGTAGTGAAGAACCTTCATTGCTCCGCAGCCGCCACAGGCAGGAGTGCTTGAGCAAAGTGTTTCGGCCAGAAGGGATGAACGCTGTTTGGAGTGGGGTTTTCGGGCTTTCGGTTGGGGCTTTCAGGATTGCGGTTTACGGTTTGAGTGGATACACAGTTGTAGGTTTACGCTTGACAAAGTGTTGCTGCGCTGCTCAAGAGTCCAGCGTTTGCTGGCGTACGACGGTCGGCCAAAGGGACTCCTCTGCTTGGGGGGGGGGGCTGGTCCAAGTTAGAGCCTATATATATATATATATATATATATATATATATATATAGGTGGCCATATTACGACTCTAGGGGCTCCGCACTTAGAATAGGGTCTTTGGGACTCTTGGGCTCCACGCCAAAATCACCTACTACATCACGAAGATATTCGGCGATCATAGAAGAGAAAGAGCAGAGACGTAGAAAGTACTAATTCTTCAGACCTCTATATTTACGTTGTTACTGGATGGCGCTCCCTTGAGCGCCCTCAGTATCACATATGAAACAACTCATATAGCCGCAGGCCGGTCTTCGACCCCTGCCTGTGGTATATGGGAGCTTCAGAAACAAAGGAACCTGTAGGATCCTAACTGTCCGAAAGCCCCCCCCCCCATCTCGCGCTTCCGGTCGAAGGTGTCTGAGCCGCAAGCGAAAGCGACACATTTCCAGCAAGGCCTGTGCCATGACTCTGAGCTTTCAGCCTGTAAACAAAACCAAAACTCGTAAGCTAACCCCTAAACCTCAAAGAATGTGAATCATAAGCATATGACTCATGCTACATTTCAACGTTTCCATTTCCCAAAGAAAGAACTGCCCGAAGGGTTCTTCTAGTCAGGTTTGCTTTCTCTTTCGAGTTCAGGGGTGGAGAGAACCCTCATGGGCCAGGGGCTCCATTTGTTGCGGCCTAAGTTTCGAGGGCTTAGCGATCGGTTCCAAGATCCACCACAGTCACATGAGCCCAATTCGAAACACTCCCAAACCCAACGCCCTGGAATTCCAAAGCCATCAAAACGAACTCAAGTCATTGTGAAAATCTCCCAAACCAACCCAGATCTGAAATCCTGAATCCTGAGCATAGATCCCTCCCTCCAAAAGACTGTGCCGTGCCAGGAAAGCGGGCAGCCTACCGAGCCGACCGACACCCTCACTCATCAAGCTCCAACTCCTAAATAAAGGTTTCTGCCCGAACCCTGGTCAAGGACGTATGAGATGCGGGTTGACTAGCTCACTAGCATCCGTACTACTGGTTCTATCAGTCTGAACTTCTAAAGTCTACAGGTTGTACAGGCGCGGATCAGGAATTATAAAACTAACTACCCAGACCCCGATAGTTGGAACCCGGAACCATTGGTTCCAAAGCACAGAAGACCCTGATCCTGACCATCCGGCCTGTGCCGAAGGAGTACGAGCGATTTGTGTCGCCTGTGCGGGCCACAGGGCATCAATCCTACATCCAATTAGCCGTGAAACATTGGGTTGAAGCCTGTATTGGAGTTTCCGAAAATAAGGGGCTATTTTGGGGTCCTTATGATAAGGATCCTACTATTTAGGGTGCTATATTAGGGTCCCCTATTTTTCGAAACTCCCATGTGAAGTGTCGGTTGGAGTTTGGAGCTCTGGACGGGTTGACTCAGCTCGGGAATTTTGGGTGCGACTCCTCCGACCTCGGACATTTCAAAGCCCACCTTCCTGCCCTTCAGCGGGGGTTCGGTGTGTGGGGGGGGGGGGGGGGGGGGGGGGAATACACGTTAAGCCGCGATCGAGGCACTCCTGCTCTGATCTGTGTAGGCTTTCGGAATTACCCAAAGATCCTCATCCAACAGTCAAGCACAATCCCCGTGACCAGCTGCAGGGCCGACAGATCCTCAACCCGCAACTCACAATCTGGAGACTTCAATGGTTTATGTGAGGATTTATAGGCGTTGAGTTTAGGCTTCAAGCTTGAGGCAGTTATGGTGTTTGGCTCTGGGTGTTGGGGATGCCAGCAGGTCTCCAAAGCTCTAAACTATGCTTGATGATGTTCAGATTATCATTTCCACTGCTTGTTGAGTTGTTACTGTTGTGCCAGCGGTCGCGACGGTGCTGATCAGGGGCATGTTGCTGAGAGTCGACGTCCGGCGCCTCCCGGCAAACTCGTAGTCAGAGGGTTGGTGTAGCCTTGAACCTGGACACGACGCTGCAATTATATAGGGTTCCTGTGCGTAGTCTCCAAAGAGTTCAGAGCCCCGAAGCTGGACCACTACTTACGAGGAATTCTCACGGCAGAGCCAGGTAACAAGGCTTTCCTGTGCAGGTGGCTGCTACCGGGCACCAAGATTAAGATGTGATTGATTAGTAAGAACCTTCCTTTGTTCTTGATAGTGCGTTCTCTGCTATGATTCATCTTGTAATGCTAGATTTTGGAGTCTAGCACGTTGGACTTCAAGCCATCTATATATAGCTAGACCCCACTTGGCAAGCATGGATTCGCAGCCTGATCACCCCTGCTGCATCCTACACCCTACCCTAACACACATTGCCCACCCGAACTCCCTAGATTTCAAATTTCAGCATCTGAGCACTACATAGGAGAAACCGTTCAACTAACGTACGAATACCACATTTCTTGGAGGCTCTTGTGCCAAGTTCCTAGATCCGTCGTAGATGTTGAGTTTGTTTCATGCAGTCGACCTCAATCAAAGAGGATCTTTCTTGCGAAGACATCGAGGAAAAAAACTCCAAATTTTCGGAAGTGTCATGCCCGGAGTACAGGAGAACGAGTGCCAACCTTGCAGAAAGGCTATCCCTGCACGAAGAAAAGCTTAGTATAACAAAAGGGCTTTGCAAAATCCGATGCCTAACCTTAAGCCCAAATCCATAAACAGTCCTCCAAATCCAAAAAAAGGTAGGCCAGCTCACAATGCAAAACCCAGTAGCCTCAAGCGGCTCAGCTCCACATTGGCTGGCCTGCTGGTGAAGACGGCTTGGGATTCGTGGTACAATACATGAAGCAGAGCTTTGAATATTCTTGTAAACAACTGCCCCAGTACATACAACAGGCACTCACCAACTTTAACAAGGAGCCCCCAGCGCATTGTACCATTTGAAATGTAACTCCCATTTCGCTCCGAGCTTCGAGTGATAAGGCTAGGCTTTCTAATATTTTTGGTTGACAGTCAGGCTGGGGGGTGGGGAGGTAAACAGGTCCAGAGCCGAAGCCTGGGCAGTGCTTCGACTGCTCTGTGCACATCACCCGGCTTTGGGCTCTCGGCGCGTGCATCATGCAGTGGCCTTTCTAGACTACTGCCGCTGATGTGGCCCTACTGCTTTAAATGGTTATGGACGCCCTTGCAAGATTGAATAACTTCGACGACAGGATTTTAATTGTTTTTTGTCGATCTTTTGGCTGCGCTGTGGCGCCGTCTAACCGCTTTGCGCTGGTAACACGGGCACCCTTCCAGCGCCGCACTCGCTCCAGCAAATCTGTTGGGGTCAATGTGGCCCTCCACGCCTGTAACCGAGAATAATCTCGGCTCGCTTCCTCTGCATGCTGCCTGAAAGGCCCGAAGCACTCGCAGGCCAGCTCTCTCAGATGCGTCCTAGCAGCAAAGCCGCGACGCCCCCTACGAACGCCTCTCGGTCGACTCTCTGCGAGGCCATAAATGGCCTGCCCATCTTTTGACTTTCCTTTGATCGCGAAGAAATCACTTGCACCACTTCGACGGAGGCGCTTGGCTAATACCTCCGACTCCTCCATATCTTGCGGATGCTGCTCCACATAAGACACCAGCTGCTTCAGTGTTGCTTGTCCACCCAGTGCAACCATGACTTTATCCATCACAGCTTGTTTGCTTGATCTTTCCATTCCCCTTATAGGTCTTGTAATGTTAGAGGGCAACCTCACAAACACTCGGAAGTCTTCAACAAATAAACTTCATTCAACAAAGCAGACTTAAACACACACCCAAGAGCAATATAGATTTGGTAGACTCCGATGTTTGCACCTCCAGGATTATGTCATCTTCAATCTGCTGCAGCTCCCCCACGACTTGCCTGATGGCCAGCCAAACAGATGCTGAAGCAGCACCTGGCAAGTCGCCTCGCTTCGCTTCGAAACCGTCAAAGAGCTTCTGGAGATAGCACAGCTCTTCCTCAATGAGCTTGGGATCAAAGCCTTGCGACTGCCACGCGCGGAGAGCCTTGAGCAACAGTTTCCTCGTCCGCCGCTGCAAATTTAGGGACGGTCCGACCTCCTCCGCACTAAAGCAGCCATCAACTTCGCCCGCGCCGGACATTGGCTGCGCCTGCTGACAAGCTGTGCGTGGGGGTGCAAGGGCACCCACGGCTTGAGACACTACTTCGCTCAGTTTTGTCTGGCTGGTGTTGCTGTCGAGGCTTGCAACCACAGCTGCCGCTTCCTCCAAGCACTTCGACTTCTCTTCTAGCCGCATGTTCGCCCACCTGTTCATGCTTTTGAAGATGCTTTCTGGACCAGAAACGCTACCACTGGCATCCTTCTTCTCCGATGAAGCCGTTGCCGTTGCTGGAGCTTCTTCAATGAGGGGCGGGGATTCAGCACAACAGCGCAGGCGTGCCAATCGCTTTTGCAGAGAGCTTCGGGCCTCCTGTGGGTTGCACGACTAGGCCACCAAGCGGTCCCTTAGGCCCTCAACGGTAGCTCTAGCATGTGAAGTTATGTGGTTTAGGGCAGTGTAGATGGTAGGGCTTGATTACAAATAATGCCCATTCAAGCACACTGCATAATTTCCAATAACCCCCACCTCCCATTCGTTGCCGGCTGAAGAGTAAGATCGGAGACTTCTTTGCGCTGCTGGCAGGACCAAGCGAAGGCGCGCAGGCAAAGGACCCGAACCCAACTTTCTCACGAGTTGGGCAAGAAGCCGGAGCTCAGAAACGTCCGGAATTCGATCTTCGGGTGGATAGGCCACCCATGCAGCCACGTGGGCCGTGTGTTGTCTCACCTCCGCCTTCTCGAAATGTTCAGCAGCAGCTGCATACTTCCGGATAACTCGCGACTTGTTCGCATGCTGGTGAAATTTTGCTGCATGGCGCTGCAGCCGCTTCAGCATGTTCAGGTCAGGAGTCCTACCAGTGAACGTTTGATTAGATCTCTCGGTGCTCCCATAACTTGTGGTCGCATGCGTTGCTTGCTTCCCGTGCTTTGAGCTTCCGACCACACGGAGTTGACCCAGAATGTTTATTGGCTAAGACCCAGGAAATTGCAACAGTTCCTGAGGCATCAGAGCAACCAGCCCCTGAGCATCTCTGCAGCCTGGCCACGACATGAACGAAAACACTATCCCACAACCCCCTCCTTCGACTACAGATCTTAAGAACCTACACCGTAAACATTGACAGCCGTGACACTTACATCCCACGGATGCCGATGAGAACCCCTTTGAGCAAAGACGGGGCGGGAGCACCTCCGGGATGAGCCAGAGGGTGCCGTTCCCTTGGTCCACGGCTTGGTGGTAACAAAGCTTCTAAGCCGTGCATCTTATAGTCTATTGTAGAAACATACATTTCGAAGTCTGTATTCTATGCTATAGTGTACATATTATAGTACGGTTTGGTGGGGAGCTTGGGCCATGTCCACGGTTGGCGTCAAGCTGAAGGAGCTTAAGGGTCTGAAGGCCTCAAGGATTTCGGGTTCTGGGTTTCTGGGCTCCGGGCTGTGGGGGTTAGACTGGTTGCTCTGCAGTAACCTAGTTAAAGTCCCTACACATAAGGGAACGCACTAAAGTACAGAAGCAGTGCCGGAACTGAGCATTTTAGACTCTCGACCCCAATTCCTATAGATCCCACTCCGCAAGCCACACCCGAACCCGGAAACACACCCCATCACTCTGAAACCTCCCCGAACCTTAAATGCACCGAAACCTCAATCTCCCCTAACCCTAGGAAAGCTTACATTCTGGATTTGGGGCATGAGGGTTAATGCCATTTGGCGGGAGTGTGATCTGAAATTGCACCTTGAGGGCCTCATGCTTCTCCGACACATCACCTTTCCTGATAAGGCCTGTATACATCTCGCCAGCTCCCCAGCAAGGCTGCACAAAAGTACACCCGCCAACACGGCACGCTGTTAACATTTAATGACAGGGTAAAACCCTACACAGCCCAACAACTGGAGCCAAAACAGCCCCGCGGAGCGATGGGCACAAGCGACGGTAGGAAATTGGAGCCCTAAACCCCAGGCCGCACTTTGAGTCTCAGTTTCCGACGGCCGGTCACCGCCGAGGGCCAGTCAGGGATGGGCTCGATACCCACAGTGCACTCAAGGCCTGGGGCTTCAAGGATCAGGGTCTTGGTTAGGGGTGAGTCTTGTCTTGCTTTCGAGTTCAGCCCAGGGTTTGGGGCGGTGCGTTCTCTATGGGGTTTCAGCCGAAGTTTAGGCTAAAGAGTGGAGGCCTTCTTGGGGCCTTAAGCTACTGAATCCCACTTTTTGTCGGGCATTATGTTAAAGCCTCGGAGTCACATAGAATTTATGCAGAGCCTACAAGAATAGATTCTAGCAGGTTACGGTAAGGGAGATCGAACACGAACGCAGGCAGCAAACAAGCATCTGCTGCAGCATATTTGCAGTGCTACACTGGCTTCTGCATGAAGACATAAATGCTGCCCATGAGGCCTTGTGCAGACTGGAATTCTAGGGTTTAGCTTGACATAGATCATCCGGTAGCCTAACTGAAAATAAAGCATTTCCGTCTTAACGAAAAGAATCCCTGAATCCTCATCCCCCAACTTTTCATCCGGTACCCAAAGGAGTTCCGAAATTGTTTTCCAGGACTCTGCGGGAAGGAGTCCCGTGACCTTCCCCTCGAAATCCACACATTATCCACCCTCTGTGTTCCCGGCCGAGTCTGCAGACGGCGTCCTGCAGGAAGAATGGATTTCGAAAGCCTGAAACCCTAAACTCAAGCCCTCAGCCCTGAAACTTCAAGCCCGAAAGCCTAGCCGGGACTGCAAATACGAGGCTTCTTGAATGAGGCTAGACTGTAGTCGTCTGAATACTCTCGAAATTGTTGATCGGCTTCTCGTCAAAGACGTCTCAAGAGGAGATCCCCGAGTCTAGATTACACAAGAATCTGGTCTTGGGCTCACGGCGAGCTTGGACCGAGGGGTCTGATGTGTTAGTTGTACATGCATCCTGATAGGACAGCTGACAGATACAGGCACCATAGTTCAAAAGTAGTTCTTCCTGTCTAGGTGGTGCCGCAGTCGTGCGGGGGGATCGTGGCAACAAGAGAAGAAGCATCGCCAAATGCCTACACTCTGAAGCCGGTCACGGCCTCAGATCGCCAAACGCGAAACTCGACGCTTCTATAAGCCTACAGAAGTACCATTCCTGAGAGTTCCTGTTCATAGCCGTAGCATAACATAACCCCAAAACTCTGCTCTAAGTTTAATGATTCAGCCCCGATATGACTCTACATGTATTCGACTCTGTCGACTCTGTCTTCAACTTTCACGCCGAAACCCATAACCCGAAAGCGATGTCCTTTGGAACAGGCCCCGCCAAGCATACATCCGACTCAGGCATGATGGACAAGACCTGGAATTCGATCCGTAGCTGATAGGGCAGGATTCCCCCGGCGGTTTAGGGTTTAGGGTTCCCCCTAGCCTGGCCCTGACCAGAACCTGAAGCCGTTTCTTCGGTAAAATTGGGCTTGATACGACTCCACGAATTGCGCAGTTTGTCAGGTGCTGAATCCTGCAAAATGCCTGTTCTAGGCTGTCTAGCCCTTGATGAATTTGGCGTTCGGAGCTTCAGGACTGCACTGGGTGAAAAGAAGCAAGGTCCACGCGAGTCGGAAAATGATGAAAGGGAATGAATAGGGAATGAAACAGATAGCCTGAGCCTGCGAGCTTTACAAAGCACTAATTGTGGTTTGTGGTTCATCTGAGAGACTCCGTCACACTACAGGTTCGGCCGATAATACGCAAAGCCCGACTAAGGCGGAGGCTTCTGCAGCATAGGCTGGAAAAGCCTCGGAACATCGGAGTGCCATCTTTTGTTGCTGCTTTGCCGTGGCAAGGTCGACGGCACGGGGACTCTTCGGCTAGGGCCGCTGGAGTTAATTTACATGGCTTCGGGGGACTGGAAGTGTTTTTAGAATACCCTGAAGGGTCTGGCGTATCGCGTCTACCTGTGGCTTTGAAATGAGAGGCCTGGGGCGACTGCTAGGATCCACCTTACATGCCCTGAGTACCGGATCTACCGAATAACACACATGTTTGAACCCGAAAACTCCAATGCTGAATAACCCCTACAAACATCGAAATTAGCGACGACTGTAATACATGTACAGTCACTGTGTGAACCCTTGCCAACCCAAAAATCAAGCGAAACCGTAAAGGATAGTTGTCCGACTTGCCCAAAACCACATTCTTCGTGATCCTTCTTCTCGTCATCTTCGAAAGCCCCACTATTTCTTGCACCTGACAGCCCGATCGAATCAAGTTCTAGTCAGAACAAGCCCATAAAACAAAAAAAAAACAAAAAACAACGCGGTATGTCCAGGGCCACCGCGTAGATGGAACCGCTGGGGGACAGCGCTGCGCCAGTGAACTTCCGCTCACCCGGAAGTGTGAAGCCCAGCAGAACCTGCTTCAGCTGTTAAGCGGCCTTTGGGACTTTCAGGCGCTTTAGGGGTCAGAACTGTAGGATTCACGGAACAGGCAGAGGATCCGGGCAGGATCTAGGGTGACAGGCCCTCGGCCCGGTTCCAGGCGCCTTGGAGGGTTTCGGCTTTCGCGTTCGCAGCTTGACGCGCAGCCCCTTCGATTCCCTAGCCATAGACCCTTGGAGCCCTTCGACGACCCTGTGACTACGAGTCTGGCTGTCAAAGACCCTGTGACTACGAGTCTGGCTGTCAAAAAGGTAGGTGCACCCAACCGTCCACAGCCGGCATTGCAGAATTTTTTCAAAACCGGCCGAAGCGTAGATCCGAATTTCAAAACCCGAAAGCTGTAGGTTTGTAATGGTTTGTAGCTCCCTTGCTGCAAGGAGTAGCTGTGAATGTTGGCAACTTCTTGAACCCCAAAGAGCAGTCGAGCATATTCAACTTCAAGACTGTTTAGCCTACCTTGACTGATTAGGGGCCTTCTCTATGCACACAAAGGCTCAGTTCTTTCAGACCCCAATCTTCCGACCTCAGCACCTATATAGTTCACGAACCTAAATCCAAGCCCGGACGGGATGCAACAGCGCCTCTTCCACGATGTCCTCAGCTCAACGGGAACAAGAATCGTACAATAGCAACAAGGCCATTGCTAAAGTAAGACACATCTCTACCCTCAACTGCAGACGCGATGCTGTGCCGGACGCGTTCGGTGTGATCTTGAGCACCCGCTCCGCACTGTCAGGGATGGCCTCGAGACCAGCGACAGAAGTCTAAGTCGAAGCCGGACTGGGAGCAGGGTTTAGGTTTAACATCAGCGGGGGGCGGTACTGAGTGGGACAGGTTTTTGTTTTTGTTGGAGAAGTTGCCAGGATACTGCCTGAAAATGCAGCTCTCCGAGTCCGTAACCGGGATGTTTACAAGTATCCCCACAATATCGAGATCTCTGCCATGGGAGAAGAAATCGGGCCGAAGACTTTGAACAGGGCACTACCTGCAACCTCAGCATTGGGGCTTGGGGTTTCGGACAAGCATACAGATGTAAACTTCTGACAGGGAATCAGGGAAGTTACAAACACTGCACGGTCGGAAGGATTACGGCTCTGTGGCGTACGCCGTTTCATCATTCTCTTTAATTTATAGGATCCGAAGGCCTTCAGGCAGATTAAAAGGAGACGGGCATGGTGCCCTTATCAGAGGCTGGAACCCATCTTCCATGTACCGCTGTACTCGATCTGCTGCCAGGTGGCATAAATGCATTGATCCAGTGCGAGAACGCCATATTGCCTGGTCGATGGTGTAAAAGAAGGACCGGAGCGGTTCAAGACATGTAACAGGGAGTACAGAGTGGTGCCGTCGGCTGGGGCTGGGAATTCCAGAACATCTGTTGTGCACCAACAACCAGTGGCAGCAACAGCAACCCGCTGTAGCTTGCAGATGTTGTT